CTTAAAAATTATATTGGCCCCTTTAATCTTTGGTTGTGCTTTCCTTTTGGGTGTTTAAGGCCATACAGTTGGCCCAGATAAACCAATTTATTTTTACTCTTAAGGCCATTTGAGGATCTGTACCTCAGGGGTCAACATCTCAGTGTTAGTAGCAAAAACAATAAGTCTTTCTATAAGAAACAGTATATTTTAAAATGAAATGGAGATCTTTTTTAAAGGTTAAAAACTCATTCAACTTTATGTCTTAAAGGGTTTATACTGAGTACAATATTGTCTAACTGTATTAATTCAACAGTAAACCTAAAAATTTACGATCTTGAAACAGATGTATCTTAGCTCTGGAAATTATTATTGAATATGTCAATGCTGTTGTCATAAAATACTTCTAATTATATGGTTATTAAATAAATAATTTTTAAAAGGATTTATACATGTATGTCTATAGTAAATTTGCACTAATTTTTGTATGTGGAATGGGATAAGAGTCATGTAACACTTTTGCACATAGATAGCCACATATTCCAGCACTATTTATTGAAAAGACTGTGTTTCTTCTTTAAATTGTCTTGGCATGGGGCTGGAGAGATTGCTCAGTGGTTAAGAACATGATCTGCTTGTCCTGAGGACCTGAGTTCAGTTCCCAGCACCCACATCAGATGACTCATAACCACCTCTAACTCCAATTCCAGAGAATCTGACAACACTGGCCTCTGCAGGCACCCATACATATGTGCACAAACCCCCACACATACACATAATTTAAAATAATATTTAAAAATCTTTTTAAAAATTGGCATGCCAGATGAATAGTAAATGCAAGGATTTATTTTAGACTATTCCACTCCATACATCTATCCTATGCAAACACCACACAATTGTGATAAGTGTGATTCCTCCTCCTTCCTTCTGTCTTTTATCAAGGTAATTTTGATTACTCTGATTTTCCTATATTTGCATATTAATTTTAGTATGAGTTTACTCACTTCTGCAAAAAAGGAAAAATGCAGCTGAGATTTCTATAGAAGTTGCATTGAATCTATACATCTATTTGCTAAGTCATTTTTCAACCAAGTGATAAGCCAAGACCCCAAAGGTCTCCTCCTTCAAAATTACAAACCCTCATGTGACCACTGCTGTTCTGTAGTATGAGGAAGTAGCTTAAATGTTAATGAAATGATGTTAAAAATTAAACCTTGCTTATTGAAGATTTACTTACAAATAATGCTAGTCTGCTATCACTCTTGTTTCTCACTAATCGGACTTTCTAATCTCTAGTGTATTTGGATGAACCCTCCACATTGGCTCTGTGAAGATGCTCTTGTTGTTTCTATCTATTACTACCAATTCACACAGGGTAGGGGACAAAGAGAATTTGGTCCATTCGAAGTTGGTTCCCATACAATTTTCTTAAGCCTTTGGCACTTACTACATTAATCTGCTGACAAGAACTTGTAGACAGTAAAGAGAAGTAAAGGAGTCAAGGAAAATCCACGGTAAGACAAGAAGACAGCAGTTTATTTATACTGCTGGCTCTGTCAGATTTAAATGTCACTGTGGCTCAGGATTTTTATAGCACATGTGAAACACTGCCAAGGCATTGAAGGTAGGTTGGTATTTCTTCTTCTCTGCAAAAAGTATCACTATGTTAACACTCAACTGCCATTCCTGGATCACACCTGAGAAAGCAAACTTCCCTGTTGAACTCGCCTTGGCCTCCCTGTGAGCACCTGGAAATTATCCCTCCAGGTAGGAGTGACTTTAATAACCTCTCTCCTTGAAAGGTGATACCTTAGTTTTTACCACCCACAAAGGAGGCAATAGCACTAATCAGTTTACAAGGGGTTGGTTACATAACTTATTAACCATTTATTTAACAGACTACAGTGGTGTTCCTAAAATGGTAACACCTGTGTGATTATTGTTGCATGCAAACATTTGACATATCAAGTTAAATGGAGATTACAAGTTCTGAAACAAACAAAATATAAGTGGGTCTTGTTTGGTGAAACCCCACCATAAGTCTCCTGTTTTCAATATATGGATGTGGATAGAAGTCTAGAAACGCGCATTGCAGTGTAGCACTCATTATGCCTGGCATGCTGGACCATGTAAATGGTTTTCCTATTTTCTCATCTACCTTTTCCAGTTATTTGCCAATAAACTTGTGGCAATAGTTATGCAAAGGTCACCTGTTCCTGCAGTTCTTGAGACTCTAAAACTAGGGGCCTACCTTAAAGGAACAAGTAAGATTACCTAGACAGTAGTTAAGGTGAAAACTACTCACTTATCCAGCAGGTTCTCTCTTGGGATCCGAACCTTGTCAAATATCACAATTCCATTGTCCACACCCGGCAGACCTGAAAAGAACAGAATTGAAATGCAGCTGCAGGGAAACATGCAGCATCAACTACTTCCTGACCTAAACACAAACCCCTTTATTTTACTCAGAACTGTCAATGTTCTTTTGTTTGGGGGTCAAGATGACGATGTTGTCTGTTTCCCCGGTTCTGGCTCTAAGGTGCACCTGGTCCACCCCCTGCCCCAACACACACATACACACACCCCAAAGGAGAGAGGACAGATGACGGGCTTTTCCTTCTACGCAGCATGCAGTGTGCTGGGGGGTCAGGTTGAGGGTGCGGTGAGGCTCATCTTCCTCCCCAGCAGCAACTGCCATTATAAAGGGAGAGTCCTGGCAACAGAAGGAAGAAAAGCTGGAGATAGAGAAAGCAAGAAGGACGGATCCTCCCCGGGTTCCACCTCCCTTTCTGTGCTTCCTTCTCAGGCACAGGATGAACTAGTGAAAGCAAACGACACAGATGTGGGAAAATGGTTGCAAGGACACGGGGCAGGGCTGTTGTCCCATAAGCTGCCAAACTTACTTCCTGAAGATACCTGTGGTCAAGGGTCTGGGGTCTCCTCATTGTTCATAAAGACAAGGAGATTTAGCGTGGGGAGGAAATGCTGCTTTCATAAAGTCTTTAGCATATCGCCCTTGACAAGGACACACTTGTACTTCAGAGTTGCTAGGGAAACCAAAGCAGACATTCTGCAGTGTTTTCAACATCTGCCATGACTTCGTAAGCACTGGCCTGTCCCTCTGCTCTTAGCAGCACTTGACACGGGAGGTGCTTTCAGGGGTCAAGTCTAGCCAGGACCCTGATCTTTCCTCAGGAGACGCATTTAAAACTCATGCAAAGTTACCTGCACCCCAACCCACGGCTATAGCAATAGTTGGCTACACTAAGTATGGGGTGAGGTTATCTCCTCCTCTGTGTGTTGGACAGTGTGTGTCTCCCCTACCCCTCCCTCTCTCTTTCTTTCTTTTTTTTCATTAACTCACAGATTGCTTTCTTTGGCTTGGTTTGACCTTGCCAATCCTGATCTCAGGAGTGCTACAGATGAATTGTGCCCTCCCAAACCCCATTCACAGGTTAAAGTCCTAAGCTCCGTATCTATAATGTGACTTTGTGTGGAGACAGAGTCGTTACAGTGGCAACCAAGTTAAAATGAGCTCATTAAGGTGAGTCTTAATATAAACAATAGAAGTCCTTAGAAGAAAAGGAAATCTAGAGACAGACATGCACACACAGAAACTGCATGTTCATGTGAAGATGGCTTTTACAAGCCAAGGTAAGAGTCCTGGACCAGAAGTTTCCCTTGCCCTCCTCAGAAGGATCCACCCCTGCTGGCCCTTTCATCAAAGGCCTCTATCTTTCATAACTTTGAGGTGACAGATTAGTCACAGACAGTGTTACAAATGTCCTGGGTCAGCCCTCACTGTTCATCAAGGGCTGCCTGAGCACAGACAATAACTAGAGGTAAAGGAGTACCAGAGAGCTGCAGCCTGCCCTAAAACTAAGAAGTAGGGGCAGCCTTCAGGACAGCTGCCTTGTCACTGGCAAATCAAGAAGTTGTGAGAAAATGAAATCAACACCTATGCCTCACTGGAAGTTTGGTCAGACATCACTGTTTATTTGGGATGAATTCACTTAGATTCACCTTAGCTGAAGGAGGGCTGGGGAACAGGCAACAGGCAAAAATGAGCACAGGAGAGGGGTCACTCCAGGACTCACCTTCTTTGTGCATCATATCAATAGCTGGCACTCCTGGGTACAAGCTTTCCTTTTCATCTCGGATAGGAACGATGAAGCAGTGGGGCCCTATGGGAGGCACAGAGACTCATTAAACTCTCCCGTCGTTGTTGTTGTTGAGACAGGGTCTCACTTGTAGCTCTGGTTGACCTAGAACATACTATCTAGACCAGCTGACCTTGAACTGGAGGGATCCTCTTGGCTCTGCCTCCCAAGTGCTGGGATTAT